AATTAATTTAAATAATTTATATAAAAAAGAGTATTAATTTATATAAAAATTTTGTTTCGTTTGAAACTTAGGGCTTAAAATAAATAATAATAATAATAATAATATTTAAACTAAACATCTACAAATTCAATAACGTGTATCTGAATATTGATCAAAGATTGAAACTGTTCACTTGTACACAACTTAAAATCAAAATCAATTCACAAAACGAGTCACATGATACATCACGTTCTGTCCTTTTGATCATAATTTTGATGAAAATAAAATAAATCCTTTTTTATCGCTCGTTTCGGATTACGAATAAAAGGCTTCATATTTGACTTTGTAAGTTTTTCCACTTAAAACATTTGTCGTGTAGGAATCACGATTTTCTGCCAGTAGAAGAAGAGTAGAGAAAAGAATAGAGAATTGAAAAGAGAGAGGGATACAATGAAGCAATACTAATGATAAATTGGCAAAAGTTGATTCAAAATTTCGTTAACACTTATGAGATTTTATGATGATTGAAGTGAGAAACGTTATATTTTAATAAAATATTACAAAGTTATAAAAAAATTGAAAAGATTCGAGCGATTTGAAGAATAAAAATATCAATATCTAATGTGTTATAATGAATCAGTGATCGTTTAATGTATTGTACAATGATTTATAAAGGCAAACAAGTTCTGAACAAGAAATTATAAAGATAGGGTAATTAAGACAATTGAATAACACGTATGTTACAACACTTTGTCGTTTTTATCTGTTGAACAACATCAGTTTTGCATCTCAGTTTGCGATAGAACGAAAAGAATTGTGTAGATGAAATAAAGCAGCTCGAGTGAACTTTGATATATGATGAGCAACACATATTTTAAGCATTGAAACATGAAAATAATTACCAGTATCGGTACACGGCTATCATTTCTCGCAATCTGATATCTATCTAAAGTTCAAATCGACGTCTGAATAGAAATTACCAATGCAGGAATTCGATGTAAAGGTTTAATAAAGTGGAAAGATTCATATGTATCGTTGATTAGCATATTAATGGATAAACAAGTTTTTTTTTTTAATTATCCTGATTTTTATCCAGCAATATAGATTAAAAATTCTCGCGTGTAATTTTGCTTCCATTTCAACGATTGCGATTGCAAATTTTCCAATTAAAGATCACCGAATGCTCGAATTCGAATGATTCGAAATTATGGAGGAATTATCGATCGATCGATTTTGTATTTTAGAAAAAATAAATTTTTAATTTCTTGTATCAATCTTCTTGGTATAACGTATCCATAAACATTCTTCAATGTTCCAAATTATATGTTATAAATTTTTAAACTATGTTATTAACAAGATAGAACTTATTTCTGATTTCAATGTATTTTAATGGAGGAATTGTTATTTTATTTTATGGAGGAATTATCGATCGATCAATTTTGTATTTTAGAAAAATATTTAAAAGTTTTTTAAAATATGAAATGTCATATTTTCTTGTATCAATCTTTTATAACATATCCATAAACGTTCTACAATGTTTTTTCTTCCATTTCAACGATTGAGATTGCAAATTTTCGAATTAAAGATCACTGAATGCTGTCGATACCTCGAATTCGAAATGATTCGAAATTATTCGAAGGAATCGATCGATTTTGTATTTTAGAAAAATATTTAAAAATTTTGAAAAATATGAAATGTCATATTTTCTTGTATCAATCTTCTTGGTATAACGTATTCACAAACGTTCCAAATTATACGTCATAAATTTCTAAACTATGTTATTAACAAGATTGTAGAACGTATTTCTGATTTCAATGTATTTTAATGACCAAGAAATCAATTATATATCCGATCTTGCTTTCCAAACTCGTGTCCCCTCGAGCACAAACTATTATTAATACGTCAGAGATATTCCCCCTCCTGTAAATCCAAGTATTACAAGTATTATTTCTTCTGATTTAATAAACCGATAAATAATTATGTCAACAAAATGTTAAACGCGCGTCAATAAATCCCCTTCACGGATCTATCATTCTCTTTCACTCTTAAGCAACTATGTAAATATACCGATTCGAAAAAAATTAATCGCCATTCTGAATCACAAATCTTGAAAATGATAAACAGAAATAGAAAATTTTTACCCGAAAAACTCTCTTCCGAACGAACGAATTTCAAGCCACGAATCGAACTTTGTAAGAAATAAGTAATAAATAAAACCAGTCAACCAACGTCCATCCAAAAGAGGAAAGAAGGGGAGAAAAGGAGGCGAGTTGTAAACTTCAGAATGGAGGGGGGGAGAGGATGAGAGAGGAAAAAGAACGTTTTGGTCCCCCGACACGGCGCGGAAAGCGTATCGTCAGGTAGACACGTATTAAAATCGCATATTAACTCTGTCATTTCCTCATTTAAAAGCGAAGAGAGGTATAAACCGGTAGGATCCAGGAGAGAGGATCCAGGTATAAGATGAAAAGTGGAAAGAGCGGCGGAAAGGGAGAAGGAGATACACAGAGAGAGAGAGAGAGAGAGAGGTTGGAGGACCGAAGCGTTCCACCTCGAGCATGGTGGAAGAGACGAAGGTAAGGATGGGAGTTAAAGGGGACATAGAAGGACCACACGCACGCGCCGCCCACAGATACGCTATCACTTGGCTACAACCAACGTGATCTGCATGCGCATGTCCTCTCTTCGTCACGAACTGGAGAAAAGAAGAAAAGAAAGAAAGAAAAGAAAAAGGAAGAAAAAAAGAAGGGTGGAGGAAGGAAAGAAGAAAGCGAAGGGATGAGAGAAAGGGAGAGGAGGATACCTCCATCTCTCTCTCTCTTCTTTCTTCCTTTTTCTTTTTCTTCTTCCGTTTCACCCCCTTGGCTCACCTTCGCTGATTTAAGGGGTTGGCAGAGCGTCGATAACACGTCTGGTCAGTCCTACTCTTCGTTCGTACGGAATCTCTTCTTCTTCTTCTTCTTCTTCTTTTCTTCTTCTTCTTTGTCTTGCTCTTCTTTTTCCTTCTTTACTGTCGTCGATGGTTCTTCCACTTGGAGCTTAGCGGAACACGTAGTTCCCTGCGTATGGGTATCTTTACACGCGTGCCTCGAAGAAGAGACGATTGGGTTACTCTCCTCTTCCTCCTCCTCCTCCTCTTCGATACCGATGTCACGATCGTTTTGCGACTGGTGGCCTGTTTGACCCGCGACGTCAATGGTGAACCTTTGGATGCCTGTTGAATTTGTTAATTTCGAAGGCATTAAAGTTACGGAATTGGTTGCGAACTGAAATCCTTTTTTACTGATTCTTCGGTAATTTTTTTTATAATAATAAAATTCTCAAACTTGAGATGAAAATAGATAATAAATACGAACAGCCCAGTTTGAATTGAAAAATATCTTTTCACGAAAAAAAAATTGTATCTATTGCACATCCTATTTTTCACAAAAAAAAAAAAAAAAAAAGGATCCTCAAAATCGTCGGAGAACGATATAACAATTCGTATCGTGGATATCAAATCCATCGTATCCGGATTAAAACCGAATTAATTTCACCGCTATAACTGTCAAGAAATTATGTAAATTCGTCTTACAAGACTGGGACACGAGGTTTCACTCGTTCCTTCTTTTCTCTTTCTTCCCTTTTTTCTTTTCCCTTTTCTTTTCTTATTTTTGATCCGGATCGAAATTCCTCGAGTTTCCAAGTTCGAGAACGAACTCCTAGTCGGAGCGGTCTGTTGGAAGAAGAAGTGGAAGTCGACCGGTCGTGCGAGATTCTCCTTATCGACGCGAGCTGTCCCGTGTTCGGGCCCGTTCCCGGGGCCCCGAAATAGCGTATTCGGGGCCCACCTCGTGCCTTTCCAGCACCTACCTTCGAAAAAGAAACGTAACCCTAGACGTATCGCGGTGTCATGTCCCGCGCACCTGGCGGCCTCGTTCTTTGTAACACGATACACGCGTTTCTTCTTCTTGTTCTTCTTCTTCTTCTTCTTCTTCTTCTTCTTCGTCGTCGTCCTCTTCGCTGCTTCTTCTTCTTCTTCTTCTTCTTTAACTAATACTATTATTTCTCCTTTCACTTTGTTGTTGCCTTTCTGTTTTAAGATAGATACTATTTCTTCTTTCAATTTGTTGCTGCTTTTCTGTTAGAGGCATTACTGTTTCTTCTTTTGATTCGTTGCTGTATTTTTTTTTTTTTGCTGTGTTTTGTTGTTATATGCGAGGTATTGTTAAGTATTATTTTTAAAGTGAAAAGAATATTGGAAATAGTTTTGCTTCTTTTATTTTTATAGTATTTTTCTTGGGTTTGGGTTTTTATCCAAACATTGATTATTCGAAAATTAATTATTGAAAATTGATTTGTTCGTTGCTAGAGGAAAGGAAATGGTAAAAAAAAAAGAATAATTACAACGACATATTTAAAAAATAATATAATAAAAGTTTATTTTACACGTACAAACGAAACACAACATGGGCACATAGGTACACAGTGTGAGAGATAAGTTCTTACTCCGGCTACCTATACATGTAATACGTAACATAATTACAGATCTAACGAACATGAATCCATGAATAACATCTTTATATGCAGTTATAATTATATATCTACGCATTAACAACTACGAAATACATACGCAGCTAAATACACGCTAAATATCAAGGACCCAAAGTCCACTTAACATTTACGAATCTTTAAAGTTTCATCTATATTTCACAAATTCAAACGATCACCGATACCATATAAACGTTACTCTTTCGTAGACTTTGAAATCCGTTGAATTTGTTTGAATTCGAAATTAAACGAATAAAAATTTTCTTAATACTTAATTTTATCAAAATTTCTAAAAAATTTACTCTAAATTCGATACAAAAGTAAATATCCCTAAAGTATAATGTCAAGATTTTTCACAATGTCAATCCATTTTCCTCGTTCTCTTTTTATGTCTCATTAATTCCTTCAGGATTTCTAAATCCGTTTCAAAATTAAAATGGAAAAACGAAAGTGGACTCGGTATAAAAATAAATATCCCTAGAAGATATACCAAAGATTTTTCACAATAATTTATAAAACCAATTATAATCCTCTTTTCTTCTCTTTTCGCTATCCTACGAAAATTCCCCAATTTATCCCCCAAAATGGATATCAAACTTGGACTCGGTGCAAATAATAAATGTCCCTAGTACAATATTAGACTTTCCACTATCAGTCTATCGAAACCAATTACCTACTCCTTTGCCCTCCCTTCGCCGATTTCAACGTTCAAAATCCTTGGAAAATTCCTTTATAACTCGTCTCGAAATCGAACGAAGCGAAAAGAAGGACTCGGTAGAATAAAATGTCCCTAGCACGGTGCCGAGACTTGTCACAGTCGATCCACGCGCCCACTAGGACGTCTCTTGCAGCACTACGGCCCCTGTACCAGGCACAGGTATCCCTGGTGGTGGAGGGGACGTCGATACACCCAAATTGTGAGTCAATGAGTGCCTCCTCAGGTCGCAATTCCTGCGGAACACCTTGCCGCAGGAGGCGCAGTGGTAAGGTTTGATGTCCGTGTGCGTGAGAAGATGGGTCTTCAGGTTGCTTCTCTGGTTGAAACTCCTTGCGCACACGGGACATTTGTGGGGCGATTCCTCCATGTGCAGGATCTTGTGCACGGCCAGGGTCCTGCTCTGACAGAATCCTTTTCCACACTCGGCGCATTTGAACGGTTTTTCCTTGCTGTGGATGTACCTGCAACGGATCGATCGATTTTTCCTCTTTCAATTATTGAATTGGCCGAAGATAATTTAATCATATCTCGTATATAGTTTAAAGAGTATAAAAAGTAACGTTAAGTTTTGGATAATTTTAATTGGCGCAAATCAGTTTGATCAATTTAATAAGTCTTTACGTTAAGTTAGTGACGATATCGATGACAGATTTTCAGAAGGTTGGAGTGGTCAGTGTAATGGGATTAAGAGAGATTAGAGGGATTAATGATTGTCGAAACGACGACGCGTGGAAATTTTCGTTTGGATTTTGGAGAACGATTGAGGAGGTTTGTCGTTGGTCTAGGCACGTTGAGGATGCTTGCGTGGGATTTGGGAATTTGTGTGAGAGTTGTTTGTCAATGGTGCAGAAAGTGGATGGTTAAGGTTTTGGTATTGTATGTTAATTAGGATTATAAATAAATTGCTACTTAGTAGAATGAAATACGAAAATCTTTGTTCGCAAATCGTGTCGGTAGCGAATTGTTTAGATGATTGGGATATTAGACAATTATTTATATTATTTGCAGTTTATCTGCAGTGAGTGGAGAGAAGAAAGCTTGTAAATACTTAGACAAAAAAATATAATTTTTCTTAGAAATTTTTATATACGATATATCCATATAAATAATCTAATGAAACTTATTAAGCGACGAAGAAACTTATTAAAATTTATAAGAGTCTATGTATTCTGAAACTATGCTAATATTAAACGCGTTAATAAATTAAGAATTAAAAAAAAAAAAAAACAAGTCGAGATGAATAATTCAACATTTTCAATAAATATTTAAAATAAATAAAGCTATAAAAAAAATTTAAATTATACAAATTACAAAAAAAAAAATTACATCCCAAAAATCCTGACTCTTAAACTAGACTCTGAAAAAAATTAATTCAAAATCCTCGAATCGATTACCAAATATCTTTATCTTCAATTTTTCATTCGAACAATAAACCGAAGCGAAAACATTCCTTCATCTTCTTCGTGAAAAAAAAAAGAGAGAAGAAAATAAAAATAAATCACACAAAGATTATTCAAAAAAAAGGAAAAAAAATAGTAAAAGATACGAGGAATCGAAGAATGCCTAACAGTTGAATTAACGGTTAATTGCGAGCGCGCGCGTCGACATCGTTGGTGATCGATGATCAAAAAATACGAAAAATCGCGATAAATTGTCAGGAAAAATTGTTCGATATTAATTAATAGTAGGGGCCGTCGTCGTAATTACACGTTCGAGCCGTATCATTTCGTTGTATTTAGACGGAATACAGAAGATCGCAATCAATTTGAGCACGAGAGTTGAACGGGGAAGAAAGCGTGTTTCACGAGGTGATTGGGTATATAACTATGCTATCGCCCGATGCGCGCTTCCCTCCGCCAATAAGCATATATAATAGCGGCTTTATCTTCCGTGTCCTTTCCCCCCCCCCCCCCCGATTCGATCCACCCTCGGCATAATTTTTGAATATTAATGATTTCCTGAATAAAGGTGAAAATATTGAAGTCACAATTATGATCGTGACTTCGATCGATCTAACGATTCCTGAATATTTATTTTGTGGTTTAGTACAAGTTTCTGAGATGGATCGAGGATCGTTTTAAAATTGTAAAAGAATTAATCGCGAATTAAAACAGGTTAAAACGAATGAAAAATCGAGTAATTGTTATATGGAATACTTATTGGAATTGGACAAAAGTTATAAGAAAATACGGAAGACTCTATTCTACAAAATTCTACGATTCGACGATTATTAAAGATTATTAAGAATCGGAATTAATTTTAAAAAAGTCGAAAGATCGAAGCGAAAAAGATCGCGATGAGGTTCCAAAGAAATTCGATCAAATCTCAATTCAAAAAAAAAAAAAAAAAAAGAAAAAGAAAAAGAAGAAACGACCTAGAATCCGAACAATCTGACCAGAAATTCTTGCAAAAGAGAATCATGAAACGAAAGCGAATCACACCAGTCCCCTGACTTACCTGTGGTCCCTCAAGTGATCCTGCCGTCGGAAGGCCTTTCCGCAAATGTCGCACGAGTACGGCCGCTCGTCGGTGTGCGTTCTTTCGTGTATCAGCAAATTATAGCTTTTGGTGAACTGGCGGCTACAGAACTTGCAGATGAACTGCTTTTTGGGCCTGGACGCCCTGCACGTCCTCGGTATGCCCGACTCGGCGGAGGTGGAGGTGGCCTGCAGCGGCGACGAGGAGGACAACGACGACGAGGACAGCGAGGACGAGGAGGACGAGGAGCAGGCGGACGACGACGCCGGGGACGTGAAGGAGGAAGCGGCGATCTGGGACAGGGACGCGGAGGCGGCGGTGGTCACCGAACCCGAGCCGATGCGATTCCCATCCGTCGATGATATCCGTCGCAGCAGGGCCTCGTGGTCGGTTGAGGAGGAGGCCGCCACGGATGTGTCCCTCAACAGCGCTTCCTGCTCCTCCAACAGGGCCAAATCCTCGTCGGGGTCCCCGATAAAGTCCAGCCGTGCCTCGTCCTCGTCGTCCCCCGAGGACTGCAACAACCTCTCCGCGGCTAGGTGATCGCTCTTGGTCGGTGTGGTGGAAGTGAACGCGCTCTCCAACCCTGTGTTAACCGGCGAACACCTCTGATTGCCCAATCCGGAAGCGGAACCGGGCGACTGGCCGACACTCGACGCGGTGCTACTCGCGTGGAGGCGATGAAGGGTCAAGTAAGTCTCCAACGCTTGGAGATTCAAGGCGGCGGCCGCGGCATGTCCAGGTGGTAGCAGAGCGACTCTCTGAAGGGCGGCAAGAAGGGCACCTTGGAGTCCAAGAGCGACGCTCTGCAACGTGAAATTGGGCAGTCCAGCCTCTGTCACACTCGCGATGTCTCTGAGCTCGGCGGACGTGGAGGAGGAGGAGGAGGAGGAGGCGGAGGAGGAGGAAGAGGAGGAGGAGGAGGAGGAGGAGGAAGAGGAGGAGGACGGGACCATTACGATTCCCCGGTCCTGCTCCTGGTCCTGTTGTTGTTGTTGCTGCTGCTGCTGCTGCATCCTCCCCCGTCGCTAGAATCGGTCAGGCTGAGGGGCTGCCGACTTGTTGCCGGCAGCATTGGCGAGGTCTGATCCGTCGGTTGGTTGTTTCTGGTTGTTGTTGTTGAGCAGATTTTCGGCTTCGGTTGACTGTCACTGGTCGGTCGAAGGGGCCCGCTGGTTGATCAGGGGCCTCATGCTCGGCGATTTCGGCAGGGTGGACGAACGTGGTGACGGGAAAGAGAGGAGACGCGCGCGATGCTGGCGGTGCGAAGGCGCCTCGACGACTGCTCCTGCCTCTCGCTGCTGGGCACTGCTCGTGGAGACACCTGGTGGCAGGTATCCGAGGCGAGTTGGGACCGTCCGCGAGGAACGGGCCCCGGATTCTGGAGAGAGAGCCACACAGCTGGCCACGCAATTGCTCGCCGTTTCGGCGTAAACGGCGTCGTTCGTAATCTCGCGTGCACGCGTCACTGCGCGCGCGCGCGCGCGCGCGCCACCCGCCCGGCCATAGGGGACATCACCCCTCGACCGTTCTTACGAGATGATTCCGACGCGCTACTTGGGATTTACGTGGGGAGATGGAAAGATAATCGAGGAATGTGGCTCCGATTCGAGTTGTATGTTTGATAATCCCAATGGATTTAGGAGGAGACGCGTTGATCGAAAGCGTGTCGCATCGCACGGAATATAAGAATAGATGCAATAGATTTCTAACTTTTCAACGAAATTACTTGTTTATTCGTTGATGACAATTGTGGCAACCGTTGAGAATATTTGAAAAAATTTTTGTAAAAAATATAGAGAATGTTGGAGATTTTTGAATCGAATTTTCGACGAGGCAATTTCGAGGGAAACTTTGCTACGTTCCATATATAATATAAATGGAAAAGTTGTTTTCTATGAAAACGTGGCTTAATAAATTCGCGCCACCCTTCGTTCTCGACGTAACCGAACAGATTTCGTGGAGCAGTCAGGAAACGTTTCATTCAATTTGTACGTCGCAACAGAGCTCGAAGGTTAAATTAATTTCTGTCTAGGAACGTATCGGTAAATCTCCGCGCTTCTGTGTCCGCGGCTATCATTAAAACGTCGCGAATTAAGAATTATGAGGTACTTACGTAACATACCGTGAGCCGTGAAAGTAATGAACAGCAAATTCTGTCATGGCGAGTGTCACCAGCCACGATACGTACACGTCGGGCAATAAACAATGTAAATACGACGTTGCTTGTTCGTACTCGAGCTATTCGCGCGTTTAACAATCCGAACACGCGGATACAGTGTCATTACGTTGATGGAAATGCTCCCAGGTCGAGATGCTAAACGATGTCTCAGGATGAAATTAATTGTTTAGTTGCTTGTAAAATGTTCGAAATGATGCGAGTTATTAGTTTGTTTTGATGAATTTTTAACTTCTCATTGCGGATGTTTATGCGTTTATTAAGTATAATTTGAAGTTGAGAAAAAATTGAATGTAATTAACTATTTGTATAATAAATCTCTTTTATTATTAAATTATCTTATTCAGTTTAGAAATGAACAAACATCGTTCGTATCTATGTCGAAACGATTATTAAATTATATTGTTATCCGATATCCAAATGATTGAAAAATGTTGGCACGCTTATACTCGTGCCAGTGGAGAACAAACATTGGGACTTTTGTCGGAAATAAAATACTCGAAAGACGTAAAAAGTTCAATAAGGATGCGTGTACCGTTAACTTGATTTATCGTTCTGTAGATCACTATGCGATGAGTTGCAAACTTGCGCACACGATTTTATATACCGATGAAACCAATCTTCGTTTAACGTAACAAGCAAATTTTAACTATCTACCATATCTTCTTCGGCTTTATTACATACCGAGTCGTGTGAACGTTTCTTATAGGCATGCCAATTCCACACTCTATCGCTTTACCAGTCGATAATAATCAGTTTCTCAGAACCCAGCAAATTTTCAAACATTTCTCTCCCTAATATAGAATCCCATACGATTAATAAATTATCGAGACACATCTCCATTTATCACAAATTCTATTGTGATAATCGATTCATCCTCGATCCGACAATTATCACAATCTTCCATTTCTATACCTTTCTAATCGTAACAATTCGATCGAGTTCTCGATACCTCAACTACTCCAACCAACTCTTTTGAACGATCCCAAAAGAAGAAGAAGAAGAAGAAGACATTTTCCACCCCCTGGAAAAAGAAGAAAGGCGTGGGGGGGCTGGCGTGCCTTGTTTCGGCCGCAAAACCGGCAACAATTTACGATGGCAATTAATGGGCGCGAGTAAACCGTGTATAGCGCCTGTAGTTAGCCGGCCCTTTGGCGGACGAGGAAGAAGGAGTTGGCGAGGAAAACGCGCGCCAACCTCGATAGAGAGAAGCTCGGGAGACGGCGGGAAGCGAAGACCGGGCAACGGGCGACCAACCTTTAGAAGAATACTTGCATACTTACTTACGAAGTGAGGGGGGAAAGAAAGAAGAGGAGGAGGAGGAGGAGGGGGAGGAGGGGAGGGGGAGGAAGGAACAAGCGCGAAAGGAGGCATGCGGAGGACGAGAGTGTGGAAGAAAGTGGAGGGAAAGGGATCAGAGGGAGAAAAGACAGAGAGAGGTCGAGGAAAGAGGCGAGCGGGCCCGGGAGGGAGGGGGAGGAGGTGAGGCGAACCGAGGCAGACTAAATAATATTATAGGTGGTGTTCTCACGGTCCCGGGACGCCCGCGGGCCAACTCGTCACCCCCTCCGCCCCCCCTCCACCGCTCCACGCGGCCCACCTCGGGCCCCAGCCTCCCCACTCCCCCGCGCCTGAGTTTCGCCCACGCTGCGGCCCCACGAAGTCGTTGGGCACCGTGGGTGGGAGAAAGAGGAGCCGAGCCGAGCCGGGGAACGAGTATGGACGACAACGGACGAAGGGTCAGGGTTCAGCCTCGCGCTCGCTGACCGTCACCGTGCACGCTTTTCTTTCTCTTTTCACTCCTCTCTCTCTCTCTCTCTCTCTCTCTCTCTCTCTCTCTCTCTCTCTCTCTCTCTCTGTCTTTCTCTTCCTCCTCGTCCGTGCCTCCGCCCCAACCCTACTTCCAATCTCGAAGGCCCCGTTCTTCTTCTTCTTTCTCTTCTCTTCCGTTCGAGTTCTTCTTCTTCTATCGTCTTTCTTCATTTCCTTGCTCGTTCTTATTCCTCTTCTGCTTTGTAAGTCTTCGCTGTTTGGTCTTTTTAGTCTCCTCCTATGAGTACGATTTTTGTATTTTTCTTTTTTTTTAATTGTTAAGTTAAGATTCATTTCCATTCTTATTGTTCTTATTTATGCAATTCATTAGTATATGTATACATATGTATATTTTCGAAATTTTCATTTTCGTGAACGAGAGGTTAATTAAGCTGCTCTCTCCGCGACCCATACCGCTTGATTGAAAAAAGATTCTCGGTTTACTCGCGGATCAGATGGATGGGGGTATGTGAATGAAGCGTTCTTTTTATAACTTGTTCGAATGGAACAAGTGCTTTTTATTGTAAAAGAGGTTTTTTTCTTATAATTTGTTTGGATTAGATGATTGATTTCTTCATTTGTTGTTTTCGTGAAGTGTATGACACGTTTATGAATAGAAAAGATGAATGAAAAATCCAAAAATCTTATTTCAACTCTATTTATACAATTACTTACAAAGATATTATACTTACAGTAAGCATTATTATGGTAAATTGAAAGTGAAGTATTAAAGATACGATGAATGTTTTCGAGATTCAACTGCACGCACGATTTCTTATATTATTTTTTTTTTTTTTTTTCTTTTGACACACATCCTTTGATAAAGCGACAATACAACATTGAGTCCTCATGCTTACAACCGGAATTCCATTACGTCAGCTTTAGTGGAATTCCATTCTGACGATTTCGAGACTCGACCTCGCGACAACTATATTTGGTCGATAGAGACTTTCTCGTTTTACTTTATTCCAATTGTCAAGATGTCTCTCTTTTTTCTAATTTTTCTACGAAGATAATCATTGCGAACAACGTTAAGTTAAAACTTCATAGTTTTTCATAATCTAAATATTTTCATGTAACAATGCCAAACGATTCTATTGAAAGTCCATTAATTATTGTCTATTTAATTCAAATCAAATCTCGTCTCAAAATATCTTGGCTTGAAACAAGCAATCGACTCGGTTGCCGGCCACTCGATAAATCTTCTTTACAGCACCTCAAATTAGCATACACCCGCTAGTTAATCCATCCTTGGCTGCGAAATGTATATGCATTAGAATTTTATTACACATTTTTACTTGGCCAAAAGAAACTATATACCAACAATAACAATAACAAGACCAAACGATATTTAAAAAAGAAAGGCAAAAAGAAACTCGAAACAGTCGAAACAAAATCAATCTATAGCTGAGCCACCGATTCCACAAAAAGTACACGCTGCTCATCGCGCACACCAAGATAAACGAAAGAAAAAAGGAACGATTACAAATTAATCCGTTCGACCGGTTTCATTTATCATTCTTCATCCTCGTTCACCGTGTTTACACGTGCTCCGGGCCGCGGATGAGGTTAATTCGACAGTGTTAGGAAGAAAGAGGTCTGTCATGGATTTGCCGCCATTGCAAGTGAGAACAACGCCGATACATCAACGCGCATCAAAATCCTCAGAGACGATCCCCATCAACTATTGTTCACCTAACAGCACCTGCATCTGGTAAACAACATCGAGCACAGATGCTCAAAGTGCAAAAGATTGCACGCAATTGTACGCGTTATATCGTAAAAGTTGACCAGAATTTTATGACAAATCGAGTGAATATGACTGGGAGAGATCAAAGTCTAATCATTTTTCTTAATCTAATGCAAAACAAGTCAATTTTATATATATATATATATATATATATAAAATGGTATATGTCATATGTACAAGTATTATTATTATATTAGGAGTGTCGTTGTCCAAATCGTATCCTTTTGCATCCTGACTCTTAAAAATCCTATTTTTCTAAACTCTTAATTCTTGTT